ATAGATAGATAGATAGATAGATAGATAGATAGATAGATAGATAGATAGATAGACAGACAGATAGATGGCAGAAGAGGCTGAAGGAAACTCTTTGACAGTGGAGGAGAACCCCAGAAGAGTAGTTGACTGTGCGCCTTCCATGGAATGCATGGGACAGTTCTGGCGCTCTCTATGCCACACCTCGGTTGTCAAAGACGCAGTAACTGCACCTTACTGACACGCTGTCCGCCTTTCCCAAGAGCCGGAACAGGCAATTTAGAGGGGGAAACTATTGTTTCCCCTCATCCTCTGCCAGGTTTCGTCTTTTGTCTAGGGTACTTTCAAGGAAAATAACAGGCTACAGAAAAAGGTTATGATTACAACCAGCAATGAAAGTCTTTGGAATACAATGCTGAACATGAGACGGTTGCTTAAGCTATCGTTGCAATATAGTCAATGGGCTGGCGAGATGGCTCCGAGGTTAAGAGCACTGGCTCTTTCTGCAGTGGGAATGGGTTCAGTCCCCAGCACCCACAAAACTGCTACCAACCGTCTGCAACTCCATTCCCAGGGGCTCTGACGATTTCTGGCCTCTACGGAAATTTAAACATGCAATACATAGACAGACATGCAAGCAAAACACACATACAAAATAAAATAAATCCGAGAAAGATAAAAGGTAGTCAATAATAAATCTATTCCAATTCACATACACATAGACGTGTGTGTGGCACAGAGAAGGGTGGAGGGAGGGCTGGGAAGACAGCTCCGTGAGTAAGTGCTGACTGCACAAGGGTGAGGACCTGAGGTTGCGCACGGTGGAAGGGGAAAAGCTGTCCTCGGAGTTTAGGGGCACATTCATAGCCCCACGCATTCCATTCACGCACAAAATAAAGAAAATGTAAAAACCAAATTTTAAGGATTTTTATATTATCTATGTATGCTTCTTTTCTGCATGTATGTAATATGCACTATGCGAATCACTCATGCCCACAGAGGTGAGAAAGAGGCTATCAGATTTCCTGGTACCGGAGATACAGACGGTTGTAAGCTACCCTGTGGGGCCGGGAGTTGAATCTGGGTCCTCCGGAAGAGCGACTAGTGCTTGAACCACTGATTCACCTCTTCAGTACCATGCAAACCAAAATTTTAAGACCCAAATATCAAAGATAATTGCTAGCAGGAGCTGAAGTAATTTAAAAATAACCATCTGTACAATAATTCTGTCAGAAAGACTGGACGTGAGCTGGAGAGACGCCTTGGTGGTTAAGAGCACGCACATCTGGCAGCTCACAGAGGTGTCTGTCTAACAGCCTTTATTCTGGGCTTCTCAGACTCCAATATACACAGGCACATCACATAAATAAAAATAAAATTAACCTTAAGACTACAACAAGGAAAATGAATTTTGCTTCAGAACAAATTAAATACAGGTGAGAAAATAAATTAATAATAGTTGAGGATAATGTGCTACAAACTGTGCTGCATGTGAAGGACATCCTTGTACTTAATAGCCACACGCAGTCTAGAAACTTAGCTTGCCAAGGCCAGAGCACTCACTGTGTGTGATTTAAGGAGCGCCCCGATTCAGGACTTACTACACACAAAATATATCCAATGGCTTAAATTTCTACAACATGATGAGCACACGTAAAACATAAATGGCCAGCGTCAATTCTTCTGTATTGAAAAAAAGCAAAAACCTAGATTTTCCCCCCAACTCTATCCAGGCATTTTAATCATCAGCTAACCCATACATCCCATGGTTGCTAAAGAGACGTCCAGAGACCCCTTTACCTGGCCAGAGCTGAAGGAGGTAATGAAGAACTTCAATGTGTTTTTTAAAATCCAAAGCGCTGGCGAGTTCTTCGGAATCCGTGAAGACTCTGTTGTTGTGGGTCGAAGTCTCTTGCCTCTGATTGAGCAGCACTGGTCCAAAGCACACAGCCAGATTCTGGCAGGTCATCTTATTCACTTCGTGGTACGAAGCCACCAACTTCAGGTGATCTAGCAACATCTTTAGGGTTGCCTGATAAACGCGTCCAAACACAACTTAATCCACTGAGTGGTTACACGGCCACGTAAAAGACTAGCAACATACTCTGAATTCCGACGGGCCCCCTTCAGAAAATACGTTTCCCATCAACTCGCTCCTTCGCCCTCGAAGTGACCCTGGGGTTGCACTAGGGGGCTGGACTGCCACATCAGGGAGCCTGAACTTAGAAACGGGCCAGGACTGCAGGGATTGATCTCCTAAAAGAGGCCACCATGTTTCTCGTCTCCCCACCATGCTTTTTAACCAATAAATATTTTATAAACACACAAAATTATAAAAAGGGGAAAATAATGGTTAGAATTTTTTTAAAAATGTATTTTCTGAATTAGGCATAGTAGTGCGTGCCTTTTAATCCCAGCACTTGGGAGGCAGAGGCAAGTGGATCTCTGAGTTTGAGTCCAGCCTGGTCTACAGAGAGAGTTCCAGGTAAGCCAGGGTACACAGAGAATCCCTATCTCAAAAAATGAAATATTTATATTTGGGTATTTATTTCCTGAGAAAAAACTGTTTTAAATCCTTAAGTTAATTAAGGAAGTAGACTATCTAAATTTTAAGCACCTAAGGAAAAGAGTAATTTTTTTTTGAAGTAGTAGTATATTTTATCAGCATTCCAAGAAATGAGGTGTACTTTCTTTATAAATTATATTAAACCAAAGAATGTGAATTTAAAATTGCTGTTCAGGGACTGGAGAGATGGTTGAGTGGTTACGAATGCTTGCTGCTTTGGCAGAGGACCAGAGTTCAGGTCCTAGCATTTATATCAAACAGCTCCCAATGGCCTGGAACGCCAGCTCCCAGGGGATCCGGCACCCTCTTCTTGCTTCTTTAGGCACCATGCAAGCATGTGGGGCACATACATACACAGTAGCACTTTACATACACATAAACTTTTTAGATAGACAGCTAGACAGACAGACAGACAGACAGACAGATGGGTGATAGATGGACAGACAGAAAGACAGACAGATAAAGTGTTCCCTAGTTTTGATTTGCTAGAAATTTCGTTCAGTTTCTTTTTTTCTTTTTCTTTTTGTAGCTCTGGCTGTCCTGGAACTCACTTTGCAGACCAAGCTGGACTTGAACTCACAGAGATCGACCTGCTTCTGCCTCTCAAGTGCTAGGATTAAAACTGTGCACTACCACTGCCCTGCTAATAAAATAAACCTTCAAAGCAGAACTTAGAAGTCACATAGGCACATGCGTGCTTGGGCTAATGTCACACACAGAAAACACAAAACTGACTTCTGCATACATTCAAGAAGTGGGAAAGGCAGAACCTAAACCCGAGTGCACGAATGTCAGGGACGTAAGAGACTGTGCGGTGATGGAGCTTCAGCATGCTTCGTGCGAGCTCTCAGGAAAGACGTCGATCAAGTACACCCACCTTCTCAACATCCGGCAAGCAATTCAGCAGGCTGACGGTGAACGCAGAGTCACTGGACTCGGACTCACAGCCATTTGGTGGCATTTTCAGAGGACTTTTCACCATCGCGTCTAACAGAGCCTCGTACAGCTGCTTCGTTATCAGCGGAGAAGGGAGCTCTCTTAGATAGTCCTTAAGGACACCTGAAAACAGACCAGAGACAGCCCTGATGGGTCTCCGCAGTGGAGTAAGCGCAGGGAACGCTTTAAAAATGCAAACGCTATGGCAGTCACCTTGACATTCTGAAAACAATATAAACAGCAAACAGGAAAAGCATTATCAAAACACACTGGCGGTTTGCAGTCGTGTAAGTTTCCTTAGTAATTAACTCTGTTTGGAACATGCTAAAATACAGACATAATTTCCATAGCTTTGCTAAGTCATGATGAAAGATGTTCTTAATATATAAGCTCTCCTGACTCTGCCCCCGTGAGAAGATTCTGCACATGCAAGCAGTTAAGAAAGTAAGGCATTCATATGTTAGCTGTAAACTGTTCAACTGCCCAAATTTTGAGCTTCTAAACTTTTAGTGGGTACTGAAGGGACACCAACTGCCCAAAGCCTTTGTAAATCGGCCAGGGACATCAGGGACATCAACATATCTCCTCTGACTCTGCACATGAGTCTTAGATATACAAGGTCGCGATTCTCCAATGCTAAGGTGTCATACCAAGTACATTAAACAGAAGTCAAGAATGGAAGGCATCAAACTTCTCACTGTGAAAGTTAAGAGAAGTCTGAAGAATACGACTATAGCACGTGTGTTTTAAAAAACACTTTAACTCAGCAGCAAAGGAGAAGGTAGAACCTGCCTCTATGCCATGTCTAGGGCTTAGCCATCCAAGTGAGTCTTAGTGATATTGCTTGAAATTAGGGGACACAAGAAGAAACGACAGCTTCGCAGGTAGGCAGAGTGTCTATGGGATGCGTAAGTTTGCTCCATACAAAACCTAGGAGGCTTAGGAAGACAGGAGCAGAGAGCTGGGCCTGAAAATGAGCAACTTAAAGATGACTGTGGAAGGTGTGAGGATCTGAAGTTCAAGGTCATCTCATCTTCTGCGACACAGCAAATTCCAGGACAGCCTGATAACTGAGCCCCTGTCTCCTATGCTCAGCTGACCCCCAAGTGTGTGTGTGTGTGTGTGTGTGTGTGTGTGTGTGTGTGTGTGTGTATGTGACAGAGAGAGAGTTTTGGGAAGCATAAAAACCGTGTCAAGAGATGACTAGGAAATAGCTCCAAAAGGAAGAACTCTCTCAAACACAGCTAAGGAAGAATGACAAAAGATCCACGTGGTCAGAAAAGGTGCTCTCGGGGATGAATAGAAAGGCATGTATGTTGCCAAGGAGGACAAGGAAAAGCTGCTTCAAGACAGACTCTGGGGTATCAAATGATACACAATAATAACTTGGTTAGAAAAGAATGGCCAGAAATGCCAGGGGGCGCAGCCCATTCCTGCCCCACCGGATCAGGATCTCCTGCCAGGACCCATGCATGTATTTATAAACAAATTCCTCTTCTGAGAGTATGGCAAAGGGTTTCTGTAGCAAGGTCTAGGAGCCAATGACCTAACGGCAACTAGAGATAAGGACCACAAAGAGAAGGGCCCTGAGAAAAGGCGATCAGCTGCCTTGGCAAACGGTAAAGGACAGAGCCAGACGGCTGGCTAGATGAATGGGCACGAAAGAAGACAGCAGAAAGGGCTCCAAGGCCCAGGAGAGAGCGGCTGGAACCAACTCGGGAAGTCCCCAGAGAAGAAAGCAGAGACTCATGAGAAAACAGGAAGGGATGGAATCAGTTCAAGATGTCAGGAAGATCATGTGTATCCCACACGCAGGGAAGCGGGGAGGACGAGAAGACTCACTGAGCGGTCAAAGCAGAAGGCACTGCTCGGCCCTGAAGGCGGCGTCCTTCTCTGTGGTGTGAGGAGACAAGGGTATCAGAGGGTAACGGGGTGGGGTGATGTGTGAGGAGTGATGTATCTGTAGACACCGGAGAACAAGGGGTGTAGCACAGCGGGGGGGCAGGGGGGGAGAGAAAAAGAGAGAGAGAGAGAGAGAGAGAGAGAGAGAGAGAGAGAGAGAAGCAATCCCAACACATTAGCACCAAAAAGAATTAAATAATTGCGGGAAACAAAAAAGGCACAAAATTTTACTCAGAAAACTAACAATTCCTCTTGAAAAAAATTATAGGAGAGCTTAAAAAAAAAAATGCAACAACAGTCTGTGTTTATGTACCTGAAGATAACAACACTCCCTAAACTGATTACAGAATCAATGCAGATCCTAACAACAAGCGGCAGAACTCAGCGAAAGAGTGCTTGCCTAGCATGTATGACCCTTGGGTTTGATCCCCATTGTCCCCAAATAAGTAAAACAAAATCAATTTACTCTGTCACCAAAACGTATAAACTGATCCAAAAAGTTCTGTCCCACTCCCTAACCTGCCCCCACCCCACGCCCCCTATCCCCTCATCCTGCCCCCACCCCACACCCCACTCCTCCAACCCCCACAGCAGGGGCAGCACTCTGGTCAGGAACTGAACCTAGGTTCTCACGTGCTGGACACAGCTTCAGCCCTCAGGAGGCCTTCATTTATCCACAAAGTGATTCCTGCAAAGTTATACGGAACACAAAGGACCTGGACTACAAAAATGAAAAGCAGGAAAGCTGGGCAGGCTGGTTCCTGTATCAGTTTTCCAACCCTGTGACAAAATATCCGAGAAAAGAAACCTCGGGTTGTTGTTTCTGTTTTGTTTCATTGAGCCTCTCTACACAGCTGGCTGCCCTAGAAATCACTACGCAGATCAGGCTGACGCTGAACTCACAGAGATCCACCTGCCTCTGCCTCCCAAGAGCTGGGATTAAAGGCAGGCAACAGCAGGGCTGACCTAAGACAAGTAACATTTTAAAGAAGAGTTTAACTTGGCTCACGGTTTTGGAGGCTTCAGTTCGTGGCTGGCTCCATGGCTAGGTCTGTGGTAAAGCAGAAGCTCAATGGAGGGGCATGGAGGAGCTACCTTCCACCTTCCACCTTCCACCTTCTACCTTCCACGTTCCACCTTCCACGTTCCACCTTCTACCTTCCACGTTCCACCTTCCACCTTCCACTTTCCACCTGCCACCTTCTACCTTCCACCTTCCACCTTCTACCTTCTACTTTCTACCTTCTACCTTCTAGCTGCTGGGACGCCAAGAGCAGGAGACAGAAGGCAGAGACCAGGGACAAGAAGCAACCTTGAAGGTCACAAACAGGAAAAACAGTTCCTTCAACCAGGCCAGGCTTTCCACCTCTCCACCATCTTCCAATAATGCTATCAGATTATAAATCCACCAACTGGTTAATCCACTGACTGAGTCACAGCCCTCATGACCCTGCCATGACCCCAAGCTCTATCCCTGCACACTTTCTTCAGGGACATCTCCCATCCACACCATAACAGTACCTGAAAATGCAAGTCTCATCGTACGACCTAAACAAGAAGACAGGGTGGCTTGGGCATCACTAGACAGACATATGCTGACGACAACTTGCACATGAATGTCACAGCAGCTCCACCGTAACAACCCCACCCTGGGAACCAGGCAAGTGTTGGTCGAGAGATGAATGGATGTACCAACGCCATCCTACCCACTGCATCCAGAGAGTGGAACACTGTCTGGCATAGACACTTGGAACGACATGGGCGAATTTCAAAATAATTTTGCAAGGAAACAAAACCACACGCTTCCGTTTGCTTATAAAAAAGAAAAGCAAAGTCCCTCCTGTATGGTTCTAGTATATAACCTCTAGAGAACGAAACCAACTTATAGCAATAGGAAGATCTGTGGCTGCCTGAGAGTGGGGGCAGTGGGGTGACGGTGCATACAGAGGGGACTACGGAGCATATAAGGGGACACTTGTACCCTTGGCACTCATTGTGGCTATGGCCTCATGGCGCATACACATGTGGAAACACCAGCTGCATACTTTAAATACATGTGTATTAGTTTATTATTTTATTGTATGGCAATTATGCCTCAATAAAGCTGTTATGTCAGACTAACTACTGGCATTGTGGTGCGGAAGCTTTGCCAGACGGGAGAAACAAAAAGAGGCCATGGAAGGACACGCAGGACATTGGATGGAAGTAACTGAATAATGAACCACAGGAAAGAATAGTGTAACAGCGGGAACCAAGGAGAAAGCAGCAGGCACACGTAAATTGAAGGAGGCTAACTCCGTGGGGAAAAGCAACTGGAAAATGAATGAAGAGGCCTGAAGGGCAGGAAAGGCTAGAATTGGAACGGAAACAATTCCAAATTTTAGCAATAAACGGATTCTGGATCTTAGGAGTGAGTCACTGAAGTCGAGTTGACCCAAAGGTCACCTGGCACCAGGCCAGGAGGCACACGTGTCATGAATCCTACCTGGTACTTGAGAGGCTAATGCAGGACTGTAAATCTGAGGCCAGTCAGAGCTATTTAGCAGGGCTCCGTCTCAATAAACAAGTCACTTGGGATAACAAACCTAAGCATCTAGTGTTCGGAATTTGGTGTTTGCATGTTAAAGTCACTTAAAATGATGGAAAATATAAGCAGAAACAAGGTACCAAAGATTTCACTAGGCAGACTTCACACACTCTGTCCTGCGCCTGTTCTAAAACAAAACGCACTCCACTCGGTTCCAGACGAAAGCACTACTGAAAACACATCAGCATCTGAGCACACAACGCATGCATTTCGTTCCTTTCCTGCATTTAGACTCACTTAGCTATTATTTTCCAGAGTTTATTCAGAAATGTAGTTTTTACAGAGTAAACACATGAGGCAACTTCACCACTGGCTAAGTCCAAACCCATAGCACTCTCTCTTCGGCCGCACGGTGGTCCCGTGTGTAATTTATCCCAATTCCACCGCTGTTTCTCAAACAAATCATGTCACTGGTTTTTTGTTTTTTTTTTTTTTTTTTGTATTTTTTAATCAAGAAAGGCGCTCCAAATTCTTTTGTAAAATAGTTTAACTGAAATGGAATAGTGCAAATAACAGAGGCAAGAACCATGTAGTTTGTGGCTTTAGACTCTCCTATTTAGAAAAGAAAGTTACAAACCAGGCCTTTGCGAACCTATATTCACGCCTACAAACACAGCAAGTATCCAGACTCCAG